AAGACACTAATTAAAAGTCTAATTATACATGCACTGCAAATTCTATTTGAAAATACGTCAAGTTATAGATTCTTACATTTAGACTTATGTCAACTACATAAGCAATTCTTAAAAATTAGGTAATTTACTTTTGAATAAATCCAAAAAAAAAATTATTTCCAAAAATTCTGACATTTGCTTCTGAAACTCTCTACAAGGACTTTGTTTATAATTCGCAAAATAATCAACACTTTTTTATTTTTTTCTTATACCATTTTCTGTAGTTTTGCTAATAAAAAAAGCCAAACTGGAACCAGAAACGTATGGAAATCAAATAATTAGAAACAATTTAATTATTATTATTTCTATTTTTAATATCTGAGTGGATGCATGTTTAAGAAGTATTTTGTTTAATTTTCCATGAAATTTTTATTACAGATTTTTTAAATGTTCATTGCAATTGTATACAAACATTTCAAAACATGCTTATAAAAATAATTTGACAAATTATATTGATAACCGTATAATTTTTGGATGAAAGAAAATATGTGTTTGAGATAGTAAATTTTAGGCCGGTCTTTTGATTGGATGTTACTAATATTTAATCAACATTTATGGGTTTTTAATAGACATTATTAATTGTAGTGTTATACAATTTTTTTACAAAATTACTTAATATATATGTATTTCCGTGAAGTATTATTTTTTTTAATGATCAATCATACAGTTCGGCGATTAGTACTGTATTGAATTTTCCAATATAGACATAGACATATTGTTTAAAAATAAATCATTGATGAAGTTCAAGATTTCCCTCAATCTTTGCTATGATGTATAAAATTATTAGGAAAAACACTTAACAATTTTCATGATTATCATTAAATATAAGTGATGAGTAATGTAGATTGTATTAGACTCACTTTCTTGGTAAAGATAAGATTTAGAAAATATATTTAATAGGTTATGTATATATACTTATATTATATATATATATATATATATATATATATATATATATACATATACACATATACATATATATTTAATTTTTCAGGTAGTAAAATATAATACCAGAAGTAAATATGCCTACTTAAAAATGTGACTAGTATCTCAAATAATAAATTAAAAAAGAGGCATTTTCAAAATGCAATTTTCAAAGACTTTGTTGATATTTTTGACAATACTAGTGTTTGTACAAAGTTATAGTAGTGAAGATTTGAGTAAATGGAATATAACGTTTTATGAAGATGACGTTTTGAAACAAATTGATTGTGAGAATTTGGAATACGATGCAACTGTGAGTAAAAAAGAATTATTATTATTGTTAAAATTATTGATCACCATAAGGTAAATATTGTTTTTGGTTGAATTAATTAAGTATTGATAAAGATTGATATATGTCAATTTAGAAAATTAGAAAATTTTAATAATGAGATATCCAAATCATACATAATTTTCTAAGTTATGCTTTATAATCATTAAATTTTCATGAGTATTCATTCTCATTGTCATATATTTTATTGTAATAAAAACAAAATTACAATATATACTATAAATATTACATTTAACAAAAATTATTAAAACTATAGACAATATCTTCAAAAAAAAAATTAAGTTATCAAGCATGATGCAAATTACCTCTATAATGAGGTTTTTGGATTTAGGACAAAGTATGAGTTGTTCTATAAATAAAAATAAACAATTATAAATAATTCGAATTTCTCGATTGATAACATATAGAAGTACAATTAAAAATCGAATCCATAGACCAAAAAATAACTTTCAATAGAGAAATCATCTTAGCTTTATGTAACAGAGAGATCACCTAAAACAATTATCCTTTATAGAAAGTGTCTAGTATTGGATTTGGCATCGACATTCCTGAAGATTACACGAGTTTCTTCCCAAAATGTTGCCCTCGTGGCCAAATTTATTTAAATAATACTTGCCAGGATTCCGAAATAAGCATGGAAAATTTTAAATTCAACGTTTCAATTATGTGCAATAATGTTTTGTTAGGAGTTGATGACACATTTGAACCGCAAAACATTGTTTATGGAGATCCTTGCTCAGAAGAGAAGTAAGAAGTATTAGGATTAGAAATTATAAGGCCTTATTTTGGTTTAATATTTGTTAATTTTAGGTACATGCTGGAACCTGAAGATGTATTTGCCATTTCTCTAGATGGAAATTTGTATATAAAAAACAATGCCGGTAGATACGATGTGTACAATTCAAAACAGTACTGTATGGAAACTGTTGATGATACTTTAGAAGTCTTAGTATGTTTTGGCACCGAAAAACTTTGTACATATATGCAGCAGGTGAAATTTATAATCAATAACTATAACATATTACAATATTTGATAAAGATAAGAATACTGCCTAAGAAATTTATTTGTTAACTTCGTTACTAGTAATACTTTTCTGTGTAAAGGCGTTTAATAAGTTTTATTCCTATTTTCAGTTGAATTGACTTCAGTGGCTTTTCTCATCGTGACATTTGTAGTTTATACATTTGTTAAAAAACTAAGAACAGTCCACGGTTTGGCTTTGCGATATCATGTGTCCTGTTTAATAGTCGCTTTTTCAGTACTAGCAGCCGTTCAATTGGCTGGAGGACGAGAAATACCGGATTGGATGTGTATTACAGCAGGGTAAAATATAAATTTTAATCCTTTGTAACTGGCGTCGCCTATAGGCGACATAAGCTTATTGCCGACCTGCGTGTACGAGTGTCGCCTGTAGACGACATCTAGTGTGCCAACTTTTGCTCCAAGATTTATCACTCTTGAGTTAAATTACTAAGAATTTTGATTTGATACTTTTCAAACTAGCGTCGCCTATAGGCGACATGAGGTCCCTGACATGTGTGTACGAATGTCGTCTATACACGACATCAAGTGTGCCAACTTTTGCTCCAAGATTCATCACTTTTGAGTTCAATTACTAAGAATTCTGATTTGATACTTGTCAAATTAGCGTCGCCTATAGGCGTCATACGCTCTCTGACCTGTGTGTAGGAGTGTCGACTATAGACGACATCCTATGTACCAACTTTTGTTTGAAGATTTATCACTCTTGAGTTAAATTACTAAGAATTCTGATTTGATACTTTTCAAAATAGCGTCGCCTATAGGAGACATACGTACGCTCCCTGACATGTGTATACAAGTGTCGCCTTTCGCTTCAAGATATATCACTGATTATGAGTTAAAAACTAAGAATTCTAATTTGCTACTTAGAAGTGTAATTTTAATTTTCACTTAATTCAACTTATTTACGGTTATTAGAAAGTTTTAACCAACCTTTATATAAAAACCGACATATTAGAAAACCAGTGTCCAAGTGGTATTTTTCCCAAAAGTATTTTTAACCGATTTTCAGATTTTATATAATATTTCCTTAAAAAATTTGAACAAAAAAATTATTTCCGGCTCTAATATTTTTATAATTGTGAAATGAAGGACGGCTATTCATTTGCAACAGTGTTTTTATCAATCCGTACATTTAATTTTTTTAAATTAGTTTATAGTAACAATACTTAGTTCACGTTATACTAAATTATTAATAATCAATTTAATAAAATAATAAATAATAATTAATTTAAACAAACAACAAATAACCTAAATTAGCAATGACTAGCCTAAATCAACAACTAGACCAAAACAGCAATAACTACCAAAAAAATAACAATAACTATTATCCTTGGTCAGAAATAATTTTAACAAACTCGTTTAAATAGAATTGAATTAATAATATGTTGATATATCTCATTTATCTTATATGTCTTTTTAGAATAATTAAAAAAAAATTCCTTGAAGGCAAACACAGCGCTGAAAATTTCAGATCACTCGAAAGTCTGTTAAAAACGTGGTGTACATTATTATAATATTTTTTATTTATTAGCTATTAATGAACAAAAAATTAGTGCATTGCAATAATTTTTATGCAGTAATATTAATATTTATTATAAAACTAATATAATTTTTATTTAGGTTACGTGATAGAAATTTCATTCCTGGCCTACTTTTTCTGGTTGACAGTGATGTGCATAGAAACTTATAAAAGGTGAAAATACTAATCTATCTATTTTTTTAATTCATTATTTTGAATTAGTTTTATATTTCGAACTATCGTTTCAGTATTACAGCAAATATTAATACACAAATTAATGGAAATAGAGAGATTAATGGAAAAATTAACGACAAAAGAAGATTAAGGTATACCATTGTGGAGTTTGGGGTCTGACCCTTGTCATAGGATGTGTAACATTTATTTGCCAATTTGCACCAATATACCATCTACCTATTATAGGCCAACTATAGGAAGAACCTCGTGCTGGTTCGAAAGTAAGAGATAATTAACTATTAGTAAAGAAATTATAAAAATATTTTTATATATCAATTCGACAAATTATTCAAAAAAACCGAAGGTGTAAAAATTATTAAATTGAGCACATGTAAGTAAATTGCAACATTTTTAAAATAAAATTTGTCCACTTCTGACTTTATATAATGCAAATTTCTGTATATCCAGCTTTCCACTATTGATGTTTTCTATGTTTTTTTTTTCTTATGCTTGGCAATCAATTTAAAAAGTTACCCGTAATTGACGTATATACTCGTCATAAAGAAGTAAATTTTGTTGGTTGACGTTATTTGAATGATGCTAATTATGTTGTTTTTTTTTCAGAAAATTCATCATCCTTTTACTACTTCTATCTACCAATGGGTGTGTCATTGATTGTGAATTTTGTAACGTTTTTGTGGACGTTTAAAATCCAGAGACAAACACAACCTCAGTTTAAAACCTTGTGAGTTAAAAGTTAAATTTGATTTATATTTTACTATATAATATATATATTATATATATATATAATTTAATTAATTATTTTTATCAAATTAATTATAATTAATTGATAAAAATAATAAACTGTAACATTCGTCCAAAAAATTAATGTCTGTATATTAACTATGTATTTATTTTTAAGTAACAATTGTACTTATTTTTGTTTAATATTATGAAAAGTATCTCTACTATCTATCTATTTTTCCTCTACTCAATTATATTTCTTATCACAGGTTTCGCAAATCCTTCCTACTATTTCTCATGATGGGTCTAAATTGGTTTTCAGAAATTCTGACTTGGGCATTCCCTGAATATATTCCAACAGAATTGTTGACAGGTTTTGATATTTTCAATGCATCTCACAGGGATCATTATATTTTTACTTTTCGTCTGTCACAAAAATTTGAATTATGTAAAAAAGAAATCGTGACGAGGAGAGACACTTTCCGAAGACAAAGATCTGCTGAACCAAAAGGGACTGAAATGAAATTGTTGGGCCGAAAATAGAAGAAGAAACTAATTTTGAATTTATTTTTGAAATTCAGAAATGTTCAGAATAATACAAAAAATAGATTTATGATACAAATATTTCATATTAATTCTATACAAAATAAGTAACATGCAACCATACTAAATTAATACATATTTATTTATTTTTGATACTCATTTGTTATTTTCATGTATATTTTATAAGCAATTTGTTATATGTTTAGAATCAATAAATTTTTGAATGTTTATTTGTAGCCAAATAGCAAAATGTTATTATGTAGAAAATAATAAATAATTTAACTATTTACGGTGTGTATTATCATTTCATAAATTATGAAATTCAAACCAGGAAGAAAATCCACAAAATTAAACACGTTGTTTTATAAAAAACAAAATTTGGAATAAAATGAAATGTTTTGAGGACCAACCATATAACTTTTATATATATTTTCATAAAATCATAACAAACATCAAATCCAGAAACAAATTTTTATAAAATTATAATGAAAATATAAAACATCATACTAAAATTTCAATTATTCTATTTGTGGTATTTAAGTCCTAATTTGAAATCGAAAACCAGGATAATAATAATAATAACTACGTGTACGTGAACTTCTCAATATGTGAAAAAAATTGATTTAATCAATAAATATTTTATTTTTATGTGACCTACTTGCCTACCCGTCCACCAGTTTACCTGTCAATTTATTGACCAATTTTCATTTCTAACTGCCACCTGTCTACTTTTCTTATTTTCTATATTACTTCTTTTATACTGTCAGGTTGTTTATCTATTTACCTATCTAGCTGCCTATTGGTCAACCTGTCTATTCTTCTACTTTTCTATATTTCTACCTGTCTATCGGTCAACCTGTCAACTTGTCTTCTTATTTACCTGTCTAACTTCCTATTAGTCAACCTGTCTACCTTACTACTATTCTGTCTTTCTACTTTTCTACCGGGTTATTTGTCAACCTGTCAACCTGTCAACTTGTCTGAGTTCCTGTTAGCCAACCTGGCTACTGTTCTACTTTTCTATCATTCTCTTTTTCAATCTGTCTATCTATCAACCTGTCAACTTGTCTATCTGTCTATCTTCCTACTTATCTATCTGTATACTATTGTACTTTTCTATCTTTCTACTTTTCTACCTGTCCATCTACCTAACTGTCAACCAGTCAACCTGTCAATTTTTCTATTTATCTACCTGTTTACCAATTCACCTGTCTTTCTGTTTACCTGTCTGTTGAATGTTTTGTGATCATTTCAGATCAGCAAATATCAATTTTTCAAACTTTTTCCTGCAGTTCCGAGACTGCAAGATCTGCCTTCGCAAAAATATTATTAATTCTGCATTTCGTGCTCCCGAAATCGTGGACGACAAATTGTATTGAAAAAAACATATAATACAAAACACACACACACCATATGTTTCTTAGATTTGCCAAAATGTTCGGAAGGTCTCAAAACTTAAAAATATGCAAAAAAAATTCATATATTTCTGCAATTTTATAACAAACTCTACCTGTTGTTAATAAAAATAATTTTTAAAATCACACATGTAGATTCACTTATGTAGTGTTAAAAAATAAAAAAATCGAAATATTAAAGAAAAGCAGGTGATGTTTAAAAGTTATATATATATATATATATATATATATATATATATATATATCGATTCGAAAATCAAATGATAACTTTTATCAGATATTTATGTTCATAAGCAATATCAATAAATTGACAGTGATTGAAATACAAGTGACTAAACAGTGCTGCCATATCTTATTAAAAATTAATTATTATTAGTTAAAATAAATTTATTATTTACAGTTCAGTAAATAAAATTCCCGAAAGTCAATTATTTTTAGGAGTGCAAAAATAAATTAAAAAAAAAAACCGTTTTTCCATTTATATTACCAATTTCGCTCATTTTAAAATTTATTCATTCGTATTAAAAAAATATTTAATTTTTTGATAAATTATAAATATATGATTTGTCTTTATTTTAGTGATATTAATAGAAATTATTACGTGTTTTTCATAATAATTTCACATATCAAAACAAAGATTGGATATAATGCTTTATCAATGATTCATAAATAAAGTAATTATTATCGAACTGCATCATTGATAAGTGATAATTTTGAAAATAAATTATATCTAAATACCCAAATTAATATTGTGAAAAATTATTTAACAATACGTGAATACTCATTAATCATTATATCGCGCTCAAATATTGTCAATTTAGCTAATAGGAGTCTTTATGTATTTCTGATTGCTAAATAAAACAGAGTTAAAAAACATAATTACTATTATTATAATTAGTGTTCCAAGTGATAATTTAAATACCGCAGTTTAAAAATGCATTTTGTGAAGACTTTGTTAATAATCTTGACAATAATAGTGGTTTTAGCTAGGGGTAGTAAAGTAGATTGGAGAAATTGGAATATTACATTTTATGAGGATAAGATTGTTTGTAAGAAGATCGACCATGACGTAAGTAATATTGAAGATATACAAATTAAAAATAAATGAAACACACATTATGAATATATATATATATATATATATATATATATATATATATTATATATATATAATTAATACATAAAATAAAACTTACCAAAAGAATAACAAATATCACAGAAGAACAGGTGTAGTAATAGGTCACCTGAAGAAGAAAAATATGCATATTATTATATATACATATTTATATATACTTTAAATTTATTATAGTAACATAATAAATAATAAAAATATATACAATTTATAAATTAAAACTGTTGCTTCAATATTTCAATGTTAAATATTTTGATGCTAGCATTTTTGCTATGAAGTTTTAGCTAACGTTAAGCTTCGTTGAATAAAAATAATTTAGTTAAAATGTAATACTTTTGTGAATTTTGAATGAGACCTTAAATCATGTATGTGTTATATAAAAAAATTAAAAAATTTTATCCTTATAATTTTTGGAATTATAATCACAAGTTACTATTAAATTATTAATCGATAGATTAATAAATTAATTTTCAATAATGTAATATATAATAGATATAAATTAAATAAAATTTTACTATAATGGCTTTATAAATATAATTATATCCTATAATTATAGAAAACATCCAATAACAAAATTGGAGTCGACATTCCAAAAGATTACAAGAGTTTCTTCCCGAAATGCTGTCCTCGGAGCCAAATTTATTTAAATTATTCTTGTCAGGATTCTCAAAACAGCATGAAGAAATTTAAAATGAAAACTTCAATTATGTGCAATAATGTTTTGTTAGAAACTGATGATGTATTTGAACCGAAAAACATTATTTATGGAGATCCTTGCATGGATGGCGGGTAAGAAGTATAAGGTTATAAAATTATAAAGCCTTTTTTATGTTCAATATTTGTTAAATTTAGGTACATGTTAGAATCAAAGGATGTATTCGCCGTTTCTCTAGATGGAAATCTCTATATTAAAAACAATGCTGGCAGATACGATCTGTACGATTCAAAACAGTACTGTATGGAAACTGATAATGATACTTTAAGAGTGTTAGTATGTTTTGACACCCAAAGAATTTTGTACATATATGCAGCAGGTAAAATTTCTAATCAATAACTGTAACATATGACAGCATTCGATAACGATAAGAATACTGTCTAAGAAATTTAATTCTTATTACCGTTGCTAGTAATACTGTTTTCCTGTAAAGGCGTATATTAAATTTTCATTTCTATTTTCAGTTGAACTGATTTCAGTGGTTTTCCTAATCGTGACACTTGTAGTTTATACATTTGTTAAAAATCTCAGAACAGTCCACGGTTTGGCTTTGCGATGTCATGTGTCCTGTTTAATAGTCGCTTTTTCAGTATTAGCAGCCGTTCAATTGGCTGGAGGACGAGAAATACCAGATTGGATGTGCATATTAGCTGGTAAAAGTCAAATATTAATACTAAAAACGTGCTATATGCTTTATAATGCCTTCAACTTTAACACCAGACACAAACTTATTAAAACGAGGATTTATAAGCTATTTAACTCTTTGAATACTGTAAATTATGAATATATTTCTAATCAATATTTGAAACGTGTATGGCAAAAAATTCTATGCTACTTCAGTTAAAGAATTTGCTTTTTGTGATTTTGTTTATCGTTCAAAATTCTATTTCGCGAGCAATTTTTTTTACTAAACTTTATTTATGCAGCCTGGCCTACAAGAGATCAAATAACAGTAAGTTATAGTCATCGCAAAAAAATCAAAAATATTTATTTTCATATATCTTTACGTTTCAAAGGTTTCTGAACATTTTGGCACACCTTACAAAAAATGGATGTGCTATTTGCCTTAAGGCACTATGCTATGCACCACTAGATAATCCTATGATAACAGTAATTATTACCATTTTTATTGGTATATATCAGTAAAAATATACTGACCCTATTATAGAGATTTTATATTACAGACTTTGTCAAGTATATTATAAAAGCTAGTTGGTAACCAAGTCCTATATCGTTATACCAAGTAAATCGTCTAATTTTAATTTTAACGAACGTCAAAAAATCTACTCATTTTCTCAAACTTTGATGAATTTTCAAAATTAAACTACTTGTCGTGAGGTCGTAATATTTCAGTAAGTTCTAGAAGACCATGATATATATCGCCAAAAAAGGTTCCACAAAAATCGGCTTAATTTTTTTTTTTTTAACGGTTAATTACAAGAAAACGGCTTGGTAGATTTTTACCTAAAACAAATCAGTATCATTTCCAACTAATATCTTTCGAAAAGTTTTTAATTCTTTTAAATTGATTCAGAATTGGGGGCTAAAACGTGGACAAACATTTTTTCACTTTTCTGCTATTTATAAAGAAACTGCTTGGCCGATCGTCGCACAAAACTGACAAACGATAGCCCTCTTCAAAATTCATCGAATGGCTTTTAAATTTTTGAAATTGGTCCAGCTGTTTTTGAGAAAACGCCGATTTACGGCAAAAAATCTGTTCACACACACACATACT